ATAGTGATTTTAAATTGCATTTCCAGGTCAAATATGCATGTTCAGCATTTGCCATGTGCTTCTTGGCATTTGTAGCTTCTTCTGTCCTTGAGTGTAGTTGTATTTTTGTTTGGTTTGGTTTGGGGTTTTTACGTTCTTCAGGATTTTTCCACCTCGCAATAATTTGTGTTTGAAAGGAGTTGTCTGTCTTATTAAACTTAAAAAAATTAGATTGTAGTGTTTCCTCTTTATTGATGTTTTCAAATTTTATTTATTTTTGAATATGTGTCTTTTCCTCAGGGTTATGATTTTGTAAATATCTTCTCTCTGTTTACAGCTAAACCTATTAATTTTATTAAAGGTATCATTTGATTATAAAAAATGTTTCCAAATTTGATAAAGTTAAATTTGTCGATCTTTACTTTTACAGTTAATGGTGTCCTGGCTAAGAAGTATTCGTTCACTGTAAGCTCATGAAGGTGCTCTATGTTTTCCTATAGAAGCCTTATTATTTTTACTTTTGTGTTTTTATGTATATGATCCACTTGGAATTACTTTTTTCTGGCATATGTGAAGTTCAGGTTAAGGCGCCTCCCATATGGATATTCAGTTTTTCAACTACAATAGGATGAATTTCTTTTTCTAATTGAATTACTTTGAACCTATTTCTGGACTCCCGAATCTGTCCTAATTGCTTATTGTTTTCCTTACACCAATGCCTTACTCTCTTGATTATTGTAGTTTTAAAATAGTTTTGAAAATAAGGTACTATAAGTCCTCCCCTTTGTTCTCTTTTATCAATGTATTTTTGGCTTTCTAGGTCTTATTCATTTTCACATAAACTTTGCAATCACCTTGTTAGTTTCTATAAAAGTGCTTTGTAGCTCTTCACTGTGTCTCACACCTATAATTTCAGCAACTCAGGAGCCTGAGGCAGGAGGATCCCAATTTTGAGACCATTCTTAGCAACTTAGTGAGGCCCTCGGCAGCTTAGTGAGACCCTGTCTCAAAAAAAAAAAAAAAACAAAAACAAAAACAAAAAACCCCAAAAGGGCTGGGGATGTAGCTCAGTGGTAAAGTACCCCTGGGTTAAATCTCTAGTACCAAAAATAAATAAATAAATAATAAAACAAAAATAGATAAAAATAAACGTTTGGTAGGAATTTTGAGTAAGATTGCATTGAATATGTAAAATAATCTAAAAAGATTTACATCTTAGTAATAGTAAGTATTCTAATCCATAAACATTTTATATCTTCCCTATTTATTTACAGCATCTTTAATTCTTTCAATTATGTTTTGTAGTTCTCAATGTAGAGTTCTTACACATCTTTTGTTATTTTTTCCCTCTTCTTCTATGGGGTTTTTTGTTTGTTTTAATTGAGGTTTTTTATTTGTTTTATTATTATGGGGTATCACCGTGTTGCCCTGGTTGGGCTCCAGTTTGTGTACCCAAGTCTTCCTCTTGCCTCAGCAGCCCAAGTAGCTCTGACTATAGGTACACGCCACCCTATCTGTCTTAGTCTTTTATGTTTTTGATGATATCCGTAAGTGGTATCTTTGATTTCTTTGATTTAATTTTCCAATTGTTTATTGATAGTATGTTGACTTTATGACCTTGTTAAATTCTCATAATCTATTTTTTTTATAGATTCCTTTGGATTTTCTCTCTATATATGTATAAAATCATATTATCTGTGAATAATTTTTTTTCTAATCCAAGGGACTTTTAATAATTTTTCTTGCCTTTTGTATTGGCTAGGAGTCTAGTTCATGGGACACAGACTGGTGAGTGTGGGAATTCTTACCTTGTTCCTCATCTTAGTGAAGAAGTGTTCAATATTTACCATAAAACATGATGCTAGCTTCAGGTTTTGTCGATTCCCTTTGTTAAGTTGGACAAATTCTCTTCTACTCTGAGTTTTCCCAAAGAGTTTTTTGTTTTCCTTCTTTAAATTCTAATGTTAAAAACATTAGAATTGAATTTCCCCAAATGTTTTTCCAGATCTATTGAGGGGACAAGTACGATTTTTGTCCGCCGTTTACTTTGTTAATGTGGGGACTTCTATACATCGTTGCTTTTAGTGTTTTTCAAACCAGAAATTTTACCAAATAATAAAAGATCTGGCTATTAAAAGGGCTGTATGGCTGGGTATGGTAGCATGCACTTGTGTTCCCAGCAAGTTCAAGGCCAACCTGGGCAACTTAGCAAGACCCTGTCTTAAAAGGGCAGGGGATGTAGCTAGTGGTAGAGTGCTTGCCTAACCAGCACGAAGACCTGGGTTCAATCCCCCAGTACTGAAAAACAAACAAAATAAAAAGCATCTTCTTCAGGCAGATATTAAAGGTATTTGCAAAAATGCAAAACATGACTCTGCTCACTGTTTTTTATTTTGAAAAAGAGTTATGTCATAAGTGTCTGTTTATCAACATGTAATGTGTTTATTATTGTTATTCATTTATTGTCAGTGCTGGGAATTGAACCCAGGGCCTCCTGCTAGGGAAGGGCTTTTCAACCAAGCAAAACCCATGCCCCTCTTGTTCGTTTTAGATGGAATAATTTTTAAAACTGTTTTCATATTTGGAAGCTCTCATTTACTTTTTAAAAGAGTTTTATTTTATTGGTTTTTCTTAGTTATACATGACAGTGGAATTTCATTTTGACAAAATTATACAAGCATAGGATATTACTAGGTTAAAAGAAAAGTTGAAAGCCACTGTAATTCGCTTATATTTCTGGTTACATTGATCTATTATTATGCAGGTATCGTTTTGTTTAAATTATTGTAACTTCAAAAACTATTTTAAGAGCTGGTTGTGGCTGAGGCTGGCTTCAAACTTGCAGTCCTCCTACCTCAGCCTCCTGAGTCACCAGGATCACAAGTGTGCACACCGCCGTACCTGGGTCAATGTTTGATTTCTTAACCTACATGGTGTTTCATGGGAATTTTTGTGTTATGTTTTATGCTTAAGCACTTTTGTTGGGCATACAGCTATCATCCCAGTGACTTGGGAGACTGAGGCAGGAGGATTGAAAGCAGGAGGCCAGCCTAAGCAACTTAGCAAAACCCTGTCTTAAGAAAAAAAGGGGTGGGGCTGAGGATATAGCTCAATGGTACAGTTCCCCTGGACTAAACCCCCAGTACCCACCCCAACACCATTTCAGAATGGGAAAAGGTGTTTGGTTCTCTTCTTTGAGCCCCTATCGTTCCTTGCCTCCCTGCTTCCTGTGGCCCTGCGTGTCTTTCTCATTCATTGCTGCAGGGTAGTCTCCAGCTCTGATCTTGTTTCTTCTCTAGTGAAGGCTCCTTGGTTCTTCCCTGGTTGTGAAGATGCCCTCCCACCCTCCTCACCTGGTTTCAAGTGTATCTACAAGCCTGATCTCCCTGCATAGCCTGCCCCATTCTCAACCACCAATGTTCTCAGACCCCCTTCCTTCATTTCCCTCATGTTTCCTCCTCCATTTGTCAAAATCTGATCCTTCCTTCAAGGTCCAATCCAATGACTCTTTATCCCTGAAAAAAAGTCCTTGCTGGGTGGTGGCACATGCCTGTAATCCCAGAGGCTGAGGCAGGAGGATGGCAAGTTCAAAGCCAGCCTCAGCAAAAGTGAGGCGCTAAGCAACTCAGTGAGACCCTGTCTCTAAATAAAATACAAAATAGGGCTGGGGATGTGGCTCAGTGGTTGAGTGCCCCTGAGTTCAATCCCTGATACCCACCTCTGCCAAAAAAAGAGCATCCTTCCTGATTTTTTCCCACCTTTCATCTGATATCTTTTGATTTTTTTCCCTTCTCTTTTGAGCACCAAATAATCTTAATTATTTGCCTATAGGTCTATGGTTCTTTATAAGGTGAAAATTACATTAAGGAAAAAAACTGTATTTTATTATTATTTATTATGCATTACATAATATACTTGATTAAGAAATATTTGTTAATGAATTGGATTAATGATTGATTGTTTTATTTCCTTTTTGATTGGAAGGCTTAATTGAAGGCAATGGTTGCCATATACTTCTTCAATTTGCCAGAGCCTAATAGGAGACAAAAGCTTTATTCATAGGAAATGCTTAAATGTTTAATCAGTCCTTCATGGTGTTGTACCAACATGCAAGACCTTTGGTTAGAATTCCAGACCTGCCGCTTACTAACTATGTAAACTTCAACTACTGAATCTCAAGTACCTTGGTTACTCCATTAGTGAAATAGAAATAAAAATTGATACTCCAGGATAGAAATAAACTAATTACATGTGAAACTGTCAGTGTCAGTGTCATCATCATCATCATTTAAATAACACAAGAAAGAATTCAGAAAATACTTTATGTATATCATATTTTTCTTCCCATGGTTGAAGACTCATTTTATTTCCAGTTGTTGATTATATTCCCTTTCAAAATCTTATATAAGAAGTTACTTAAATACAAGTAATTTAAATAGAGGACCATGTAATTTGATCTAATTTTCATAATCAAGAAAATGAGGAATGACTTGGGGGGGGGGTCCAATGCAGGTATATAGTTCTCCATTATTCTTATTGGCTTCATTATTCTGTTGGCTATTTTTTTGTTGTTGTTATTTATCCCAATTAGAAGACAGCCACTTAAATTCCCTTTGGCACAGTGATAATATGAGTCCCAGTTTCCAAAGGGCAAAAATCATCAAGAACAAAGCAGAATCTATCTGGTAAAGCATTCTTCTGTGTTAGGGTTGAATTTTCCCTGAGTTTATCAGTCTACAAATCAATGCTATCATTTATTTCTGAGTCGATATGTAACATTGTTTGCTATGTCCTCTATCTCTGTAGTCTAACAGGTAAGTTCCTAAAAAGTTGGTTTGGAATCTATATAGTTTGAGAAATTGATCCTTCCAGATGTGACCAGGGGTTATTATAAGATTCTCATCATTTCTGCTGGTTATTGGGAAGCCTGGACCAGAGATCAGATAATACTCTTTAATCTTGGAACTAGATGGTGTTTGTTATTGAATACTTATAGGTACTGTTTTATTTTTTTCCTCTAGGTTGAAACTAAGATTTCAGTTTCTACCCTGGGTGCTATTGCAACTCCGAGAACTATAGACCTTGCCCACCCAAAGATCAAGTTAGATGGTCTGTGCTATGAGAGACAAAGAAGCGAAATGCCCATCCGACCTGTAAGCCACCACTGCCTGTCTTGCCATCCTTCTGCTCTCTTTCTGGTTGCTCCTAAGGTGTTCCCTCCTCCCCCTACAGGACATAGCCCAAAATCATTGAAAGAAAGAATCTTGGAAGAGTGTTCTGTGGCAGGAAGGAAAACCTAGCGACATGATATCGAGGGAGGCAGAGGAGTTGAGGGCAAAGAGCATGGCTTTGGAGTCAGCAGGAGCTGGGTTCAAATTCCCACCTCACCGATGCTAGCTTTATGATGTCGAGGCAGCCTTCCTGAGCCTTGGTCATTCAGTATTCGAAGGTGTACTGTGCGCCAAGTACTCTTCCCAGGGAACAAATGCAGCTAATGGGGGGGGGCAATAAATAAATAAAAAGATAAGACAATGCCAGGTAGTGATAAATGCTATGGAGAAAATGAAATAGGAAGTGAGTGACTGTGGTGGTGGTGGGGGGAATAATTTATTTGGCATGTGGTAGTTGGTGATGCCACTCTAAGGAATAAAAGTTCGGGCCAACCCTGAGGAGGGAGAAGGGGTCAGTTGAGTGAAGATCTGGGGGAAGAATGTTCCAATGTAGGGAAGAGCACATGCCCAAGCCCTCAATCTGGGGTGAACTTGGAGTTGGGTGGAGCAGGTGAGCAAGGGAATGGCAGGTGTTTGACCTCCTACTTAGAAGTCAGCTGTGACATAGTAGCACTGAAGGCAAGTGCTCAGCCTGGAGCCTGGCGCACCCATGGCTTCCCTCTTCTTCCTCCTTGACATTTCCCTTCTTTAATTGCAGTGCCAACTTGGTGCCCTGTCTCAGTTGGGTTTTTATTATATATCATGTTGCCGAAAGAGGTAGGACCAGGTCTACCCTCTCTCTGGAAACCTCAGGATTTAACAAGGAAAACCATTCTGGGAACCAAAAACTCTTGGGAGAGTGTCTTGAATTTGCAGGAAAATGACTTAATGCTATTTTTTTTTGTATGGAAATGGGAATGATAGATATCTTTCCTTTATTGCTAGAATTGTTTGAGTTTTTTGTTTTACAACAAGTTTTTAAAACAGGGGGGATACTGCTGTGAAAAATCATACTGTTAGAATCCAGAACTAACTGGCCTCATGCAACTCAGAATACTTTCAGGGTTGCTGAGAAGTTTAGGATGAACACTTAACAGAGAGAACAGTAGCTACATGTCATTCTTATTTTACCGATAAGGCCACATAATAGAAAGGCAATCCAGCAGAAGATCAAAGGGGGACTGTCGGTTGACATATTATCAGCACCAATTACAAGCCAGAGCCTGTTCTAGTTATTGCCCAACAAGCGCATCCCCTCCAGGGGCTTCTATTCTGTTGGGGAGAAGCAGGCAATAAACAGTACTATACAAGCTGGTTCCGGTGTGGATAAGTGCTAGCCAGGAGAGTAGACGGGAACCACAGAGGCGCTTCATTGGAGAGGCTGGTTTATTTTGGCTGGTCAGCAAGCCCCCTGTGAGGACTTGATGTTTGAGTCCAGACACTTGGAAGAGGAAGAGGCAGTCGAGCCAAGACTGCAGAAAGAGGTTTTCAAGCAGAATTAGCAGCTATAAAGGTCATGAGCAGAAGAAGCTGGACCAGAGGGGCCTCCTGTGACCAGGGTCATAGTGACCCAGTGGGGAAGGGAAAAGATAAGATCAGAGGAGTGGCAGGTAGCCCAATCCTACAGGGCCTCTTAGGCACAGGAAGAAGCTATGTTAGCAAAATGGGCAGCTACAGGAAGGGTTTCAAGCCTGGAGTGCCAGGTTCTGATTGGGCTTTAGAAAGGGCTTACCTCACCGGGTGCGGTGGCACATGCCCATAATCCCAGGGGCTTGGGAGGCTGAGACAGGAGGATCTTAAGTTCTAAGCCAGCCTCAGCAAAAGCAAGACACTAAGCAACTCAGTGAGACCCTGTCTCTAAATAAAATACAGAACAGGGCGAGGGATGTGGCTCAGGGGTCAAGTGCCCCTGAGTTCAATCCCCAGTACAAATAAATAAATAAATTAAAATAAAAAGTGCTTACCTCATGGGGTTGTCATAGTGATGAAGTGAGAGTGACATGGGCAAATCACTTAGAACTCCATCTGTCTCAGGGAACACACTATCTACTTGTTCATTCCCTGGTAACTCTCATGGGGAGGCTGGATTGCACAGGCCAGGATGGAAGTAGGACGCCTGTCAGGAGTCTGTGCAGCAATCCAGGAGAGGGACAGGAGCCAGCGGTCGAGATAGGGAGATATGGTGAAAGCTGGGATGTATTTTTGTGTCTCTTTGTTTCCCCTACAGGTATCCCCAGCAGCCATGTTCGCCATACCTAGCTCCCGAACGCTAGATCTAGCTAAATTCAAGCCTGTCCATCAAGATTACCTACCTGCCCGTGATGCCCAGTGGCCAGTGTCTCATGCTGCTACCCATTCTCAGATATCTGCTAGAATTCAGGAACTAGCTAATCCAAGTTCAAGGTATGCCAATTTAAGGCTAATGTGGACTAGGATAGGTTGGGTGTCTGGGGACCGGGAGAAGGTTGATCTAATAAGGTTAATGAAAAGAGTTGTCAAAATTTTTAAAAATTGCAATAACATCTCACTAGTTACTTTTTTTTGTTTGTTCGTTTTAGTACCAGGGATTGAACCCAGGGTTGCTTAACAACTGAGCTACATCCGCAGCCCTTTTTTTATATTTTTTTATGTACTGACAGGGTCTTGCTGAGTTACTTAGGGCCTCACTAACTTGCTGAGGCTGGCTTTGAACCTGAGATCCTCCTGCCTTAGCCTTCTGAGCGGCTGGGATTACAGTGCCACCACATCCAGCTCACTAGTTACATTTATTGTAACAAATATATGGTCTTATTCTAATAAATATAAAGATACCAGTAGGGTAGTGGACTAGGCACTGAACCTTAGATTTAGAAGATAGCTCTGTAAGTATGTAGATGAAATATTTATCCAATGTATATTGTTCATTGAAATGAGTTGTGAAACAGAGCACTGTTGTAATTTGTGTAAGAAAAAATATATTTGCTTAGAGATGCTCAAGGTAGAAAGAACACTTGTGGTTTGATCCCCAGCATACCCACAAAAGAATTACATATTTTTCTAGACTGCTAGATGACTATTGGGGACTGTCTGGCTTATTTTAACATTGCTAATTATTGAAAAATTTTCCAGAATTCACTTTCTGTGGAAAGAGCAAAGTCTTTGGAATCTGACAGATGTGCAAATCTGGATTTGGCCATTGATCATTCTTACAACCTCTTTGAGCCTTCCTTTTCTTGTCTGCAAGTGGAGGTCATGAAAATCTCAATGAGATGATGTCCTAGTGATTAACACATAGTGGGTGCTTGGGAAACTCTAGTTCTTCAGGCTGATTTCTTTTCCTCCCATTTCAGGGCTCCTATGCATATTCTCTTCTACGATCCTAATGCCTTTAAAGTCAAGCCGGCTGCTTTGAAAGCACAATGTTCTTCAAGGATCCAGGAGTTGGCAGAACCTGTTGTTCGCTAAACATAGAGAGTCACCGCTGTAGACACTAGTTACGTATCTGTCACATGTATTAGAGGACTTGGTTCTCTACTCTGGTACTGTCCACTTACGACTTGTCCAACTGCCCCTCAAATACGAGACCTCCAGGGAACAGCACTGTAAGCATGAAATAGCAATTGCTGCTAATGCCTGTAATCTCTTCTTTAGAAGGTTTTTGGGACTTCAGTACGTAATAAAAAGAGACTGAGAGCCTGCCTTGCTATCCTTACTACTTTGTCATGAGCATTATGACTGTTCACTGCTGTGGCCGATCCCAGACACTTCCTTAGAGGGTTTTGTTTTCTTCCTGGCAAGTTCCATGTTCCTGGTAGCCAATCCTGCCTTAGTCCCTTCTCTGGTAAGTCCTGGGAATTGATATTGTTCTTTTTTTTTTTTTTAAGATGTTGATGGATGTTTATTTTATTCATTTATTTATAGGCAGTGCTGAGAATCAAACCCAGTGCCTCACACATGCTAGGCAAGCACTCTGCCACTGAGCCACAATCCCAGCCCCAACTGACATCATTCTTTATGTTACTTTGCCAACCTTCCCTCATTACCTAGAAAAAACACTAATACATGAGGCCCTTTCAGATAACTTGAAATGCTTTACTACAGCAACGCAGCCATATCAATGTTCATAGCCACCGAATTCACAATAGCTAAGCCAGGGAGCCAACCTAGGTGCCCTTCAACAAATGAATGGATAAAGAAAATGTGGTAAATAAACACAATGGAATAATAGCCCATAAAGAAGAAGGAGTTTATGACATTTGCTGGTAAATGGATAGAGCTAGAGACTATCACACTAAGTCGAAAGACTCAAGGTCAAATATTTTCTCAGATATGTGAAAGCTAACCCACAATAAGGGATGGTGGTGTAGAAGTTCAGTGGACTAGACAAAGGGAAATGAAGAGAAGGGAGTGGGGATGGGAAAAGGAAGAACAGTGGAAGGAATCTCTCACAACTTTCCTATTTATGAATATACCACAGTGAATCTCAACATCATGTACATCCACAAGAAATGAATTTTAAAAAAGGTAACTATGGCAGAAAGATCAATAGAGGGAAGGGAGCACAGGGAGGTGAAAAAGAAGGGGAAGAAGAGGTATTGGGGTCTGAATTAGAATAAGATATAACCCATGCTTCTATAATTATGTCAAAATGGATTCTACTATTACATATAACTAAAAAGAAACAATAAAAATATTTTAAAAATTGAAATGCTTCTCATAATCTGTAGCTTGATACTTAGGAAATGGGTTACCTTAAATGACCCCATCTCCACCACCAATCTATTCCTTCACTCTTTTTTTAAAAAATATTTTTTAGTTGTTGATGGACCTTTATTTATTTATTTGTATGTGGTGCTGAGAATCAAACCCAGTGCCCCATGCATGCTAGGCAAGCACGCCACCCCTGAGCCACAACCCCAGCCCTATTCCTTCACTCTTGATCAGAGTAGATTACCACAAATAGCAGAGAAAGCAAGATACGGCTTTTAGTGGAAGACACGAAAAAGTCTCTAATTGTATCTGTTCATAGTTTTTATTTTATTTACTTTCTTCTCTTCACACTTCATATTTTATAAATTAAACTAGCTTTTAATGGGACAAACCTAGAATTGTGTCAAAAGGAATCATTATGATTTGGATATGAGGTGTCCCCCAAAACCTCCTGTATTAATGCAGGAGGTGAAATATTAGATTATGAGAGTTGTAACCTAATTAATGGATTAATCCATATGATGGATTAATAATTTGAATGGATTAACTGGGAGGTAAATTTAGGCAGGTGTGGGGTATGGCTGGAGGAGGTGGGTCACTGGGGAAATGCCTTGGGAATTATGTATTTTCTTCCTGGCTCCTGCTACTTACTCTGTACTTCCTGACTTATATAAAGTGAGTGGCTTTCCTCCACTATGGCCTTCCGCCATGATCTGCCTGCCTTAGGCCATGGTGGGAGTCAGTCCCACCATGGAGTAAACTTCTGAAACCATGAGCCCCAAATAAACTTCTCCTCAAAGTTGTTCTTGTCTGATATTTTGGTCACAGAGACAAAAAGCTGACTAATAGAAACTTTACTTGAAAACCTATTTTACTACTAGATGAGTTCTATCTTTATGCTCTTTGCAGTTTTGAACTTTTTGGGGGATCAGAACGATCTGGGTTTGTATCTCCCACAGGTTGTTTACCAGGTGTGTGATCTTCAACAAATTTCCTATTCTCTGTGCCTCAGTTTATGTATAAAGTGAGTTTCTACCACATTAGCATAAAGATTATATGAGGAGATGTATATAATAAAGCATGAATTAAATAAAAATTGTTCCCTTTTCTCAAAACCATGTCCTTGTTATGGGTTTGCATTGGGGACAAGGACTGAATTTTCAGCAACAGTGGTGTTAGCTATAGTATGAACAAAACCACAGTCTTCCTATCAAGAGGAGAAGGAGGCTAGCAGCCCAGTGGTACACACCTGTAATCCCAGCCACTGGAGAGCCTGAGATAGGAGGATTGCAACTTTAAGTCCAGCCTCAACAACTTAGGGAGACCTGTCTCTAAAGAAAAACTAAAAAGGCTGGGGATATAGATCAGTGGTAGAACATCCCTAAATTCAATCCCCAGTTTGAGATTGGGTTGGAGTCTACTTCCCCCTCCTCGCTGGCCTGGACTTGCACAGTGGAAGACCGAAATGTCACCACCATATTTAATAAGGCTTGTTCTGAGCTGATTATTTTGAGAATACAGATAGAGGAGAAACTCTGAAAACCATGAAAGTTATCCTTTTGAAATGGAAATTCACATCTGTAAAGGGATTCTCTATTTGTAGTATGTCTCCCTTTCACCATAACTGAGAAGAGTTCAGTTCTCTGCTGCCATTCAAAAGTGTCGACAATTCATGAGACAAGTGGAAGAAGAAAAATTCTTATCAGGAACAAGCCAAGAAGCTGGATGATGAATGCTTAGTGCAATGTCACTGCTTTTTTTTCTGTCAGAGTTAAACCTGTAATGTAATACATAAACATGTTTACTATAACCTAGATCCCAGGATGTATTATGGAGATGTTATCAAGTCATATGGTTAAAATGTAGCCACTTTTTTTAAGCTCCCGAACATGTATCCAATGCAACTATAACCTTTCCCTTTTCTATTTTTTTTAAATTTAAAAATTTGTTTTAATTAGTTATACATGAAAGTAGAATGCATTTATGCACTTTGATAATATGATACATAGATGGAGTATAATTCCTCATTTTTCTGATTGTACATATTGTAGAATCACATTGGCCATGCAGTCATACATGTACATAAGGTAATAATGTCTGTTTCATTCTACTATCCTTCCTATCTCCCATATCCCCTCTCCTCCCCTCCTTTCACTCTCCTCTACCTAATCTAAAGTAATTCTATTCTTCCCTAGTGCCCCGCCCCCCTCGGTGTGAATTGGAACCACCATTTGACCCAGCTATCCCACTCCTTGGTTTATACCCAAAGGACTTAAAATCAGCATACTACAGTGACTGCAGCCACAAAAAATTTTTATAGTGGCTCACTTCACAATAGCTAAACTATGGAACCCCAACCTAGGTGCCCTTAAATAGATGAATGGATAAAGAAAATATGATACATATATTCAATGGAATATTACTAAGCTTTAAAGAAGAATGAAATTATGGCATTTGCCAGTAAATGGATGAAGTTGGATGCCACGTCCGAAGCCAAGTCCGGTGAGGGACGGCGGGGTTAAAAAATACACAGGACACCAAGGTTCTTCATCCAGGAGGGAGCGTGTGCGCGCTTTATTGCCAAATTTGTTCCCCTTATATATCTTTTTAACAGCTGCAGGAAATCACTCAAAAGTGAGGAGGGAAGAGTAATAACTGCGTCCTTGGGTTACTGTCACGTCACCGTCCCCTATTAGGAGGCTCGAACAGGTCAAGATGTTCCCGAGAGACACATATGCTCTAGGCAGATAAACAGGGAACCGCAAGCCCGCATCACGGCCTTGTGAGCTGGCCACATTGACATGCATAACAAAGAACTGGGGGTTGAGTCCCCAGGGGCCAGGGCGGGCCTGCTACCAGCAGTTGGAGGATACCACACTAAGTGAAATAAGCCAATCCTATTTTAAATTAACCAGTCACATAGATTGTAATCCCAAGTTTCTCCTGTCAGAACAAGAGGCAGTTCTGCATTAGGGATAAAAACCAGGCAGATTGGCCAACCACGTGTGCTTGTTTGCCAGACTGAGTTCAGTACACAACCTTCTGCAAAAGTAAAGCTTGCCTTGCAGAGCTACTTCTGAGCATGTAGTTTTGTTTGTTTTTAGGTGGGGGATACTGGAGATTGAACCTAGCTAGGGGTGCTCTACCATTGAGTATACTCCCAGGACTGCCCCAATTTTTATCTAGTTTTGAGGTAGGATCTTGCTAAATTGCTGGTGCTGGCCTCAAATTTGCGGGCCTCCTCCCTCAGCCTCTGAGTTGCTGGAATTATAGGCATATATATATATCATCTTTTTGTGAGATTGTTTGATCTCAGAGATTGGGCACCAAGGAGGTTCATCAGTGTTGATAAATGGTCAGTTCTAGAACTGGCATTTTAACTCTCAGTCCTGAGGCCACCTTGTTAACCTATTACCAAAAGCTTGGTCCTTGTCCCCAATACCAATCCAATAAAAAGGACATGGTTTTGAGAAAAAGGAAAAAATGAGGTTTATTGCTTTGTTAGCAAAGGATAAACACAGGGAACTCCTGTCCTAAAGGCTTTGATTCTGTCCATCTGCAGGAATGGGGCTTTTATAGAGGTGATTCAGAGAAAATGAGATTAGGGAGGAGAGATCAAGAAGGAGAAAATCAGGGAAAAGAAGATCAGGGAGGAGAAGTTTAGGGAAAAGAAGATTAGAAAAGATCAGGGAAAAAGGGAAAAGAAGATCAGGGAAAAGGTTAGGGAAAAGATGATCAGGGAGGAGAAGATCAGG